CCAGCAAGAAGCGGCGGGGTAAAGCCAAAAAGAAGGTGGCGAAAAAGGCAAAAGTTGCCTCTACGCCCAAACCTAAGCCTGATAAGGGTGACTGTCATTACTGCAGAGTGTCTGGACACTGGAAGCGTAATTGTCACCTTTACTTGGAGGATCTGAAGGACAAGAAGCTTGGTGATGAGGACATCGATCTTAAAGAGGATGAGGATGCTGCCAAGGAGGAAACTAATGAAGAAGAGGCAATCGAAGACGTGACAATGCCAATGATGCCGGAACCACCGCTTACAAGATCAAGGGCAAGGAGTTTTCACACAAAGACAAATCAATTCCTCTCCAACATCATAGGAGGGCTGCTAGAGGAGTGGATTGGAGAATACAACACTTATTCTTGCAAAAGAGATCAAGAACCGGCGCTAATTGGAGAAACCAAGAGCATTTGCATTATCCAGCCAAAATCAGCCAAAACCGGAGATTAAACCAAACTAAACCAAGATCAGATGATTCTCTTCATGTGGAGCACGAAATTTCCTTTTCAAGACCACATAGGAGAAGAAAAGAAGAGGATCAACACAAATGACACTTTCCTTATTCGTTTCAACAGCTAGGAGGAGACTTGTTTCTTTCCTTTTCCTTATTTCCTTTACTTTCTTTCCTTTTTCCTTTGCTTCTGATGTGTCCAACGGCTAGGACAGATTTTCTCCTATTTCTTTACCTAATTTTCGAGTTTTCCTTAAGAATAAACAAGCTTGATCATTATAAAAGCTTGCTCATGTATTCTGCAGAAGACATACTTGAATAATAAGAATCTGGAAGTTTTTCTTTCTCCTTTGCTGAGAAATCTGTTCTAACTCCTTCTCTCTTGCATTCTTGCATTAGGGTTCGAGTTTTGGACTGTATCAAAGAGCTTTCACACTCTTTGTGGTGTCCCTCGCCTCCCCTTACCCATTCACGTTCCCTGGAAGCTAAACGAGAGCCCTTTGGCCTGTTTGCTTCTGTTTTCTTCCTTAAGCTTCGTTTTGACTTAATACAGTGGAGAGCAACCCTTAGGCCTTCCATAGCAGTCCTTTGGTATCAGAGCCCGGTCCAAGGCCACACGCAAGGTAACACTATCTTATTCGATTTAGTTCCTGTCGTTTCTAATATGTGTGTGAGTTGTGTTAGAAAGATATGGCTGAAAACGCAGAAGACACTCAAGCTGCAATTCTGCAAGTTCTACAACGCCTAGATGAACGTTTAACACGTTTAGAAGAGGCACCACGAAGAATGCCTCCCATTAGGTTCAATGTGCGGCCCAACAATGAAAATCCTGATCCGGATCCACTGGATGCTCAACCACGAAGGGTGCAAAATCAAAGGGCTCGTGAAGAAGGTGGCGATGAATCTGATAATTCTGTTCAGAATAGAAGGAGAAGAAACAATAGGTACCAAAGGCAAATTGAGGAGGAAAGTGATGAAGATGACGTGCCTAGGAGACCACAAAGAGCTCCAAGGCACCTAGGTACAGATTTGAAACTCAAACCTCCTACTTTTGCTGGTAAAGTTAACCCTGAAGCTTATCTCGATTGGGAGAGGCGGATGGAGAATATTTTCGATTGCTATACATATACCGAACAGAGGAAGGTTCAATACGCGGCCGCTCAACTCACGAACAATGCACTTACATGGTGGGAAGGAGACGTTCTCAATATGATCCAATAATCTCTTGGAGAGAAATGAAACATCTCATGAGAAATAGGTATGTTCCACCACATTTCCATAGGGATTTACATAGACGATATCGTAAGTTGGCGCAGGGGAACAGATCGGTTGAAGATTACTTTGAGGAGTTTGAACATCTAAGGAGCCGACTGGAAATAGAAGAGGATGATGAAACCGTCATGGCTCAATTCTTGGACGGACTTCAAGACCGAGTTGCTAGAAAGGTAGAAAGGCAAGTTTACCATGATTTACATGATCTTTTGCATCTTGCTGTCCAAATAGAATAGCAAATAAAGAGGAAGCAAGCAAGCAATAGCCGACAACGCACACCGACCATGTGGAATCCGAATATTTCAAAGCCAAATGACAAGGGAAAGAACGAGGAGCGTGATGTACACTTTAAAGGCAAAACAACAGAGACTTCAAAGGAATCCAGAAATGATGGTAACAAACAGAATTCAATTTCTAACGTCCGTTCTCGTGAGATAACATGTTTTAAGTGCAAGGGTCGAGGACATATGGAACGTGATTGTCCAAATCAACGTGTAATGATTATCACGGACAACGGGGATTATGAATCAATGGACGAGGCTGATGTTGTAGACCTTGAAGAGGAGATAGAATACCCGGATAGTGGAGAATTGCTAGTCACAAGGCGTGTTCTTAACACCATTGTAGATCCCAACGAAACTGCTCAACGAGAAACGATCATCCACACCAAGTGTACGGTGAAAGGAAAGGTATGTGGTCTTATTATTGACAGTGGTTCTTGTACTAATGTTGCTAGCACCTATATGGTTAAAAAGCTAGGTCTTGAGACATCAAAGCACTCGCATCCTTTCAAGCTACAATGGTTGAACAACCAAGGAGAGCTTAAGGTAACCGAACAGGTTAAGGTTCTATTCAGCATTGGTAAGTACCAAGATAAAGTTTTATGCGATGTTGTGCCAATGCAAGCCGGACACATGCTGTTGGGTCGACCTTGGCAGTTTGATCGAGAGGTAAAGCATGATGGTAGGACAAACCATTATTCTCTTATCTTTAACAAGCGTAAAATCTCGTTAGCACCTCTTAGTCCATCACAAGTACATGAAATGCAACTTAGGCTGTCTAGAGAAAGCGAAACTGATAAGAAGTCTAATTTTTATCTTAAGGCTAATGAGGTTTGCAAGGCTTTGAGCAATCAAAGCCCGGTGTTACTAATGGTCTTCAAGTGTATGATTATTTCAGAGATAGGTGCACAAGAACTTCCAGCAAGGATCACACAACTTCTGGAGCGCTTCAAGGACCTCTTCCCCGAAGAAGCACCCACCGGTTTGCCTCCAATCAGGGGCATTGAGCATCAAATTGATTTTATTCCTGGGGCACCTTTACCAAACAGACCCACCTACCGGATGAACCCGGAGGAGACTAAGGAGCTTCAAAGACAAGTTCAAGAACTCTTGGAGAAAGGCTATATCCGTGAAAGCCTTAGTCCTTGTGCCGTGCCGGTCTTGTTGGTACCCAAGAAGGACGGAACATGGAGAATGTGCGTGGACTGTCGTGCAATAAACAACATCACTATCAAGTACATACATCCAATTCCACGCCTTGATGATATGCTTGATGAATTAAGTGGAGCAACCCTAAGATTGATCTCAAGAGCGGATACCATCAAGTGCGAATGCGGGAAGGTGATGAATGGAAGACGACATTTAAGACAAAACAAGGACTCTATGAGTGGCTTGTCATGCCATTCGGTCTTATCAACGCACCCATTCGGTCTTACCAACGCACCAAGCACCTTCATGCGGCTCATGAACCATGTTCTACGAGCTTACATCGGTAAATTTGTTGTCGTATACTTTGATGATATTCTTATATACAGCAAGAGTTTTGATGATCACATAGTACATCTTGAGCAAGTATTAGAGACCCTCCGAAAGGAAAGTCTTTATGCGAATCTCAAGAAGTGCTCTTTTTGCACTAATGAGATTGTTTTTCTAGGCTTTGTTGTAAGTTCACAGGGGTTACGTGTAGACGAAGAGAAGGTTAGAGCAATACAAGAGTGGCCTACACCAACCAACGTCGCACATGTACGAAGTTTCCATGGTTTGGCGAGTTTTTACCAGCATTTCGTAAAGGATTTCAGCACTCTAACTGCACCTCTTACGACCGTCATCAAGAAGGACAAGCCATTCGAGTGGGAGAGTGCACATGAAGCCGCATTCAAGGCTCTAAAGGAACAACTCACGAATGCACCTGTTTTGGCTTTACCGGACTTTGACAAGATGTTCGAGGTTGAATGTGATGCATTGGGGATTGGCATAGGAGTTGTGCTTCTGCAGGAGAAGCGGCCCGTGGTGTATTTTAGCGAGAAGTTGAGCGGCGCTACACTCAACTATCCGACGTATGACAAGGAGTTGTATGCCTTGGTTCGATCCCTAGAAACTTGGCAACATTACTTGTTGGCTAAGGAATTCATCATTCACACGGATCACGAAACGCTCAAGCATCTTAAGGGCCAAACTACACTCAAGAGGAGGCATGCCAAATGGTTGGAGTTTATAGAGACTTTCCCATACATCATCAAGTACAAGAAGGGCAAAGACAACATTGTGGCCGATGCTCTTTCTCGGAGACACATATTGATCACCACTATGGAGGCTAAGATAATGGGATTCGAATTCATCAAGGAGCTATACCAAGGAGATGCGGAGCTCGGGAATATTTACAAGGAGTGCGGGAAAGGAGCCTATGGTCCTTTCTACATACATGGCGGATATCTCTTTCGCGAAAAGAGATTGTGCATCCCTCAAAGCTCAATGCGAGATTTAATACTCCAAGAAGCACACGGTGGAGCTCTTATGGGGCATTTTGGTGTAGACAAGACGCTAGCCATCATCAAGGAGCATTTCTTCTGGCCTCATCTCAAGCGAGCCGTCGAACAGTTTTGTGCACGATGTATCACATGTCATAAAGCCAAGTCTCGTTCACATCCTCACGGTTTGTATCTTCCTCTACCTATTCCTACACATCCTTGGACTGATTTGACTATGGACTTTGTTCTCGGACTTCCAAAGATCCGAAACAAAGACTCCATCTTTGTTGTTGTTGTCAGGTTCTCAAAGATGGCTCACTTCATACCATGCTCAAAGGCCAATGATGCTTCATACATTGCTGATTTATTCTTCAAGGAAGTTGTGCGTCTACATGGCCTGCCTAGAACCATCGTATCGGATCGAGATACTAAGTTCGTGAGCTACTTCTGGAAAACACTTTGGAGAAAGCTAGGGACCAGCCTCTTATTCTCCACTACATGTCATCCGCAAACTGATGGGCAGACCGAAGTAGTAAACCGGACCTTAGCGACTCTTCTAAGAGCTACAATTGGGAAGAATCTGAAGAATTGGTTGGATTGCTTGCCACATGTTGAATTCGCCTACAACCGAGCTGCAAATTCGGCTACAAAACACTCACCATTTGAAGTGGTCTATGGATTCAACCCAATCATGCCACTTGACCTCACACCTCTTCCTCATCGTGAGATGGTGAGCGTAGATGGGGAAAAGAAGGCAGAAGCAATGAGGAAGCTGCACCAGAAGGTCCGAGACAACATAGCAAGACGAACGGAGCAATACACCCGACAAGCTAACAAAGGACGCAAGAACATCACATTCAAAGAAGGAGATTGGGTGTGGCTACACTTGAGACAAGAAAGGTTCCCGAACAAGCGGAGTTCGAAGCTGGCACTATTGGGTTCCCTGCGGGTTCCTAGCATGTGATCTCATCGATCTAGGGTTTGGATTCTAGGTTTCACGCAGCGGAAGGAAAGATCTAAACCTAGCCAAACGTCACATAAAACCAATTGTGCAATAACCCGAATAATCGTGTATATCATCGTGGGATTCGAATACTTACCTCGTTCTTTCAAGATCTGGAAGTATCAATCGATCCAGGGCCTGTTTTAATCACCAAGAGTTGAAAGCACAACTCCTCTACACGTATCCACACCGGCGGGATGCATTCCAACAGTTTGGAACGTATCTGCTAGGATTTGTGAAAAGAAAACGATGTCCTTAACTTGGAATCGATATTCCAATCACTAGAACTCAAAATCAAGCTTCTCTAAGCTCTAATGAGTGTCTTGGACGTCTGAGGTTCGTTCTCTAGGGTTTGTGGCGGCTCCCTAATTAATTAGAATTGCCCAAAAACCCTTAAAACGCGAAATAGGAAATCTGCCCGAAAGTCGGACCGTCCGGTCTAGGTCTTGGACCGGACGGTCTGGCTTTCCACGCGGAACGGACGTTCCGCTTTCCCTGCAGAACGGACGGTCTTGATGCCTGGACCGTCCGGTCCACACCTGGACCGGACGGTCTGGCCCTTTGCGGAACGGACAGTCCACTTCGTTTAGAACGGACGGTCCGTAATGGCTGGACCGTCTGGTCCGGGTCTGGACCGGACGGTCTGGCCATCTGGAACTCTTCCAGATTGCTCCGTCGTTCCTTTCTCGCGTTGTTCTCTTCACGCGTGATCCATCCCTAATGATGTGTGACCCTGTAGGCCCATTCGAAGTGGCAGTGGCTTCAGAAACCCTGTTCCCACAATGATAACTGACCAAGGAGTTTAGAATCATCTGCAATGATTAAAGGATATTCACCGTAATATAACAAACATGCTAATCATATAACGGGAAAAGTAATGCATTCATAAACCAATGAATCAATACATGATCATCGTAGAGCATTACAACCAACAATCTTCCACTATGCTCTATGATCTATCCTACAAGCATTTAATCCCCATACCCACAACATGACCATCATGCTTTGACGAAGTCATCTATAGCGTGGCCACGCATTTTCACAGTCCGATTTCCACGAGGGGCCCAGCGACATCTCTCCTGCGTAGGAGGTGACAAGTCCCGTATTGCATGTCTACTATCTGCATATGATTCGTGAACGTATCTGAGCAACGCCGTTATGATCATCTGGTTAAAGACGACGTTTGACGCAGTCAAGACACGTCACTTCTCATATCAGATACTCTAGACATCTCAGGTCTGAGGATCCAAGAATGAACCGCTGTATGAGATTCAAGTCATGACTCGTGTCCATGTGACAATCTCATGCGGGTCATCCAGTAACTCGTTCCAAACGAGAACCCATGATTGTGATTTGCATCTAATGCATATGATCATAATCATCTATCACACATCATGCTGGTCTTAATTCATCATTGTTCCCACAATGATAACTGACCAGGGAGTTTAGAATCATCTGCAATGATTCAAGGATATTTACCGTAATATAACAAACATGCTAATCATATAACGGAAAAGTAATGCATTCATAAACTAATGAATCAATACATAGTCAAAATATCATATCAAAGATCATCGTAGAGCATTACAACCAACAATCTTCCACTATGCTCTATGATCTATCCTACAAGCATCTAACCCCCATACCCACAACATGACTATCATGCTTTGACGAAGGGAGAGGCTTCGTCAGCGGGTCAGCAATATTATCATCTGTCGACACTCTGCTTATCTTCACGTCTCCTCTGTCGATGATTTCTCTGATAAAGTGAAATCGCCTGAGTATGTGTTTGGATCTCTGGTGTGACCGGGGTTCCTTTGCTTGTGCGATCGCACCATTGTTGTCACAGTACAACTCAATGGGATCTGCAACGCTAGGAATGACCCCCAAGTCTCCCACGAATTTCCTGATCCAAACAGCTTCCTTAGCTGCATCTGATGTTGCTATGTACTCGGCTTCCGTAGTTGAATCTGCAACGGTTGGCTATTTGGAACTCTTCCAACTAATAGCCCCACCGTTTAGGCAGAAAACGTAACCTGACTACGATCTGAAGTCATCTCTGTCGGTTTGGAAACTAGCATCGGTATAACCCTTTATAGCGAGCTCGTCTTCCAATCCGCCATACACCAAGAACAAATCCTTAGTCATTCTCAAGTACTTAAGGATGTTCTTGACCGCAATCCAGTGAGCCTCACCTGGTGTAGACTGATATCTACTAGTCATACTCAATGCATATGATACATCCGGACGAGTACATAACATGGCGTACATGATGGATCCAATTGCCGAGGCATATGGAATCCTACGCATGCGCTCTTGCTCATCCTGTGTCTTTGGACACTGAGTCTTGCTAAGAGCAACGTCATGTCCCATTGGCAAGGCACATCTCTTGGAGTCTTGCATCTTGAACCGATTCAAGACCTTGTCAATGTATGTACTCTGACTTAGACCAAGAAGCCTTCTCGATCTATCTCTATAGATCTTGATTCCTAGAATATAGGCGGCTTCTCCTAAGTCCTTCATCGAAAAAACCGATCATAGCCAGGATTTTACCCCTTTCAAGGTAGGAATGTCATTTCCGATGAGCAATATATCATCTACATAAAGTACAAGGAAGACCACTGCGCTCCCACTGACCTTCTTGTAAACACATGGCTCATCTTCGTTTTGCAGGAAGCCAAACATTTTGACTGCCTCGGCAAAACGAAGATTCCAGCTCCTCAAAGCCTGCTTCAGTCCATAAATGGATCTCTGAAGCTTGCACACCTTCCTCGGACTCTTACGATCAACAAAACCCTCGGGTTCTCTCGGATACGCATTCCACTGTGGCGTTCCAGGTGGGGTCAACTGTGAGACAATCCCACAATCCGCCAGATAGTTAGTGAACTCTTGGCTTGTTGGGTTTCCTGGGATCTCTAGAGCGAATCCTATTCCTAAGAGATCGATTCTAGGGTTTGCGCAGTGGAAGTACAACAAAAATTTTATAGAACCCTAGAACCATGCTGGTATTGAATCGTAGAAACGTTAGAACGCTTACCTCAATCGATCCGGGGCCTGTATCAATTGAAGAACACGTCTGATCACGAAAGGCAGGAAGAATACCTCACCCTCTACATGTATCCACACTTCGGGATGGATTCCAACGCTTGGAACTTGTCTGCTAGGACTCGAATCCGCTATTCGATTTGTGCTTCGAGAAAAACGGACTTTGATCACACTCTCAACCTTTTGGATCTCACCAAAAACTGCTAAAAGTGTTCTGAAGTCGGCACCCCTTATTAGGGTTTTTAATCTCCCTTTTATAAAGTGATTTAACCCTAATTTCGGTTTGATTTCGGAAACACTGAAGCCCGGAACGGACGGTCCAGAAATGTTGGTTTAGTGCTCCATGATGTACTGATTATGAGCTTTGTTCAGATACATTCGATGTATTGATACTTTCTATGTGGTTTTATGAGAGTATTTT